TACCCCTCATTTGAATCCAACTTGCAACAGTCACCACCTTCTCCGCGTGGGTTAATGGTCAATTAATTAAAAAAGCTGTGGTGTTAACCTGTGAAGCTGTGGCAATAACACCACCCCTCCATTGGCTTTGGATTTCAGAATTTGGGCCTGCAACTAGTGGAGCCTTTGGATGTCCTAACCCAAGAAGAAATGAAAGCAACCCACGAGAAAATGTCGTCGGGCTTCGAGAGATTTGGTGGGCTTTCCTAAAAGATAATCTACGCGCATGTGATGTATACTCCATATTTAAATCGTTGGCTATATATATATAGTATTGGCTAAAACTCTTGTAATGGCTTTATTAATTAGAAACGTCATATGCGCTTTCACCTTATAATTTAAGCACAATGTTAGGCCGGCGAGAGAGCTCAATCAACCCCAAAATTTATATATATTTTCCTTATCCTCATGTATATGTATATATATATATATGTTCATATTGTTGTTGTGGCCACATAATTAAATGATTACTAGCTAGTTGACTCACCATCTGTGTTGATGATGCTGACAAATGAACGTTACAGATGAGATTACAAGTTTACAACTACAATTAGTGATTGAGCATTTATCAATAAAGGGTTAATGGAAAGTGAGGTCGTAACTTCCTGCCTCAGCCAACTTCCACCTACTCAATCTTACTTACTGCTCCATCAGTTGTACCTATAATCCATCCACCTTTAATGAAAACTTTCAATTTTGGGTCTTTTATAAAGAAAATAAATATTTTCCAATTATATAGTACCTAAAAAGGTAAATATTTTTTTATTAAAAAATGATTTTGAAACAATTTTTTATATTATTTTTTTGTATACTCTTATGTATTATTTAAATAATTAATTTTTTTTATTTATTTGAAATCGATAATATTTAATATATTTAGTTATTTAATAATATATAAAAATCATATCAAATGATAATATAAAAAAATTGTCCTATAACAATATCCTTTTCGATTAAACAATGAGAGAATGAAAGTAATGTACAATAATAAAAAAATATATAACAATTTAAAATGTATTAAATTATATAACATTAATTATTAAATAACCATAAAATCTAAACCTCTATATATTAACCCCTCTCTTTTAGGAGGTATGACTACTAAGTCTTTTAATGTTTGGGCTTTTTAGGTGTAACTTTGGTACCTAACGTGGATCACGTTAGCATAAAGTGGGTGGGTCCGACGAAAGCACCATTTTTTATTTGTTGCGTCATTAACCGTACTCGCATGTGCGCATGTTCGCTGCGAGAGCGCCGGTATGGCAGCATAATGGGGGTGCCGATGCCAAGGTGGCGCGTACTTCTCCGGTTCAGTGCACATTAGCCAGATGGAGAGCGAATCACTTGTATGGATTTCTTTTTTCCTAATTTCTCAGATATTATGGCGCCAACTCGATTTATACTCTATTTAAAAACAACCAAAACTACTTAGTAATTTAAATAAAATAATAATAATTTTTCTTAAATAACATCTTAAATTTAAATTTTATGAAAAAAATATATATACTGAAAAAATCTTTTTATAAGGATATGATGCAATTCAATTTTACATTAATCAAAATTTAATACAATTATTAAATATTAAAAATTTAATTAAAAAAACTAAAACGAATCACTTTTTTTTTTAAATAAAAAAAATTTGATTGTTTTTAAATAAAATTTTAAATTTAAATTTTATAAATAAAAAATAATTATTGAAAGAGTTTTTCACTTTTAAGATTTGACGTGATTTAATTTTAAATTAATTGAGGTATAATATAATTTTTAGATATTAAAAAATTAATATAAAAAAATAAATAAAAATTAAAAGGAGAATTGAGAAATCTCTGCTGCTGTCGGCGGTGGAGTAATCAGTGGAAGAAGCTCTTCCATGTACTAATTTATGAGAATTATCATAAAAATTTAAGCTTTGACCACTCTAGTTAATCGCTAACCACAATGCTTAGTTAGATAACCCGTCTTTTTTCTCTCTTTCCTTCTCATAAATTATAATCACCCTCCATTACATTATGCAAATCTCATGATAATAATAATAATAATAATAAAGGAAAGGAAAATTCCTCTCCTTTGGTATTTTCTCTGTTCTACAGTAGAGTGAAGTGGAAGGAAACAGGAGAAGAAGAAAAGTAAATGGAAAACAGAAAGGAGCGAATCGCAGTTGAAGTGGTGTGAGAGGAGAAGGAAATGGATTGATATTTGGTTTAATTCGGCATTGGAAGTTCTGGAAGGATAGAGCGAGGAGCAATGGAGTCTCGAATGGATCAATACGACATTATGGAGCAGATCGGCCGCGGTGCCTTCGGTGCCGCCATTCTCGTCCACCACAAATCCGAAAAGAAAAAGTGAGTTGCGCGCGATTCCGTTTGCAATGTCCTCGGTGTTTTGTCATCTCGTGCTATAAATCACTTTTCAATTTTTCTTTAGGTATGTGTTGAAGAAGATCAGATTGGCACGACAGACGGAGCGTTGCCGGAGATCTGCTCATCAAGAGGTTGCTTCAGTTTTCAAATTTCAATCTGGTCACTGTATCTGCTTTCTGTACTGTTTTCAAATTCTGTTTTTTTTTTTATTTGAGCAGATGGCACTCATTGCGCGAATTCAACATCCTTACATCCTTGAATTTAAGGAAGCCTGGGTAGAGAAAGTAAGAAACCGCTGTTTGTTTTTTTCCCTTGTTCTTTAACTGTACATGCTTCTCCCATTTTTCCATTGTGATTACTCATTTATAAGTTGCATATATAATTGTAATGGTAGGGTTGCTTTGTTTGCATTGTCACTGGATACTGTGAAGGTGGAGACATGTGAGTCTGAGGCTTGTGTTTTCGAAACATGATTTGTGGTTTTGTTCTTCAACTTATCTGATTAAGAAAATAAAACATTGTTTTTGTTTGTGTATTCTCTCACACACAGGGCTGAATTGATGAGGAAATCAAATGATGTGCATTTCCCTGAGGAGGTAATCTAACCTCTAGATAATTTTCTTTTCGCCTCTCCCCAGTTGTTTGTATTTGACTTCGGTTCCTTATTGAGGTTTGGCTTTACTGTCACATTGATGATTATGAAATTATGCAGAAACTTTGCAAGTGGTTAGTGCAACTACTTTTAGCGGTTGAATATCTTCATTCAAATTTTGTTCTGCATCGTGACCTAAAAGTATGTGATTGAGTATGAACCATATGAACTAGTGTTTGGATATTTCTATTGACTCTGAAGATTTCTGAACTGACATGACATCTGCTGTTTGAGCAGTGTTCTAACATCTTTCTTACTAAAGATCAAGATGTTCGCCTGGGTGAGTTTAAATTTTACTATTTCTTCTTAGTTGCTATTGAGTTTCTTTCTACCATCACAGAGCTAAATTGGATATATTTCTATTTTACTATGGAAGATATACTCCTTCCTTGACAGTCATGCAGTTATCTGAATCCTTTCTTTTGGTTGTTTGTGTTGATTTTAATTTTTAGGTGATTTTGGTCTTGCTAAAACCCTCAAGGCAGATGATCTGGCTTCCTCAGTTAGTTCTATACCCTTAATATCTTCATGGATTTGGTAACCTAATTGATGAACAATGAAAACTTCTGCATTCATTCTGATCCAGGCTATGACATAGTACTTATATTTGATAATTTCTTTATTAAACTTTACATTGTCCTGAGATTTCAAACTTTGAATTTAACTTCGAAGAAGCAAAAGTGGCAACAAATTTTCATATAGGAATGCTAGAATTAACTTCTAAGTTCTAACCACATATCTTACATTTAGGTGCTAAATTTGTAAAAGTAAATGATAACTGTTTTCCTAAATCTTCTTCTCATGTAAGAGAAGATGATAACTATTTTTATTTCCAGTGTAAGTTAATGCTTGTTTTGTATGTGGCTGGCAGGTGGTTGGGACTCCCAATTACATGTGTCCTGAACTGCTTGCTGATATTCCGTATGGTTTCAAGTCTGACATCTGGTCTCTTGGTATGCTTGATCCTGAGCATGTATTTTATTTATGTAGCGCCTTTCTCTTCTTCTTTTTTTTTTTTTTCCTTCGGGTAAATTGCTTGCCTTTGACCAGGATGCTGCATTTATGAGATGGCTGCTCGTCGTCCAGCTTTCAAAGCTTTTGTAAGAGTCCCAGATCCTGATAGCTCTTTTACATGATATGGTGTTCCTGTGTTTTCTGATAAGCTTATAGGAGAATTACTGTTTCCACATTCAAGTACTGCTTGGAAAGTGCTTTACGCTTCTGTATTGATTCTGTGATGCACCAATGTTTTGAATTTTGAAAGGTTTCCTGTGACTGGTTATTGTATGCTATCGCTAATGGCAGAGATTATACAACGTTGGCTAATTTATATTTCACTTTGTTTTAGGATATGGCGGGGCTGATAAGCAAGATAAATCGGTCCTCCATTGGCCCACTGCCTTCCTGCTATTCTCCATCTTTGTGAGTGCCAAACTGTTCTTGTATTACTTGATTATATTTGTTTTCATTATTTGGTGGTGAATGTGTTTTATATTACACGTACAGGAAAACACTTATAAAAGGTATGCTAAGAAAGAATCCAGAGCATCGACCAAGTGTAAGTTTCTCTTTGAAATACTCCATATGAATTTAAGAATACTTGATCCTAACAATTTGAATGCTGCTTTACTCAGGCATCCGAGCTTTTGAAGCACCCTTATTTGCAGCCTTATGTTGATCAATATCATCCATCCTTCCACCCCCCAGCAACCTGCCCTCCTAAGAAGCCTATTTCCACTGCCTGTGATGGCCGGAGAAGTATGGCTGAGAGCCAGAGTAGTAATAGTTCCAATGGTGATAAAGAGAGTTTGCTCTCAAGTGATAATAACACCTCGGCAATGGTGTCAAATTGCAATGGTAAAGCCACAGATACCGATTCCGTTTCTATTGATGATGAAGATGGCACTGAACAACCCCTGCCAATTGAAGAAGAAAGCAGGCTCAATGTTTGTGCTGTTAAGGTTGGGGAACAAAGAATAGAAAAAGCCTCTCAGGCTGAACAGGGATCAAATGTTCAACCAAAGCAACCAAAAATCATCAAAAGCATTATGATGGCATTGAAAGAAGGGAAAGTAAGAGAAAATGGTTCTCCTATGAGAGGCAACCATGCAAATACTGGAGGTGGATTGCCTCAAAGAAATAATACAGAAGCATCACCCATGGTTATCAAACCCATGGCTGTTGCTCCTGCTTTGAAGTCAAATGCAGATGCACCAGCAAAATTACCCTTGGATTTGGCAAAAAGAGTACGGGGATCAAATCAGTTGAAGCATCAGGTATGGTCACTACTTATGTTTATATCTAAACTTAATATGCATATTGATATTTTCACTTATATTTTAAATTTATCTCTATAGTTACCAGCAATTGATTCCTCTCCAAAGGTTAAATCTAAACATGAAGGAATCCCCCCACATGGTCCTGCAAAGAATATTGCTGAAGATGGACTAAATGATAAGACAAGGCAGAGAACTCTTACTTCCAATGTGGTTGGACGATCATCATTGGCAGGAAGAGCAAAGCAAGTGGGGATTGATTACATGCCAAAATCGGCTGGTACGGGAGTAACTCAGGAACCTGAACCTACTTCTAATCAACTGCCTAATGGCAGCCTTCAGAATGCTTCTACGGGGCTTAAACAAGATCCTCCACTGGCTCTAGTTGGAGTTACTGAAGGAATGCAAGCAGACAGCAGCAACTCCATTTCATCTTCAATCTCAATTCAAGCATTTGAGTTTTTTGACGATGCAACCACTCCTTCAATTGACATGACAGAACAGACACATGATCATGAGACAATCCCTTGCACTGAAAGCTTAGAATCAGATCTTTCCTGCTGCTCATCAGCATCACATCTGCATTCTGAGAGGCCTGAAGTGTCATTGATGGAAAACCAAACTCATAGATCAATAATGAGTTCAGCTGAAGCATCAGAAGCTATCAAAGATCTTCAGAATATTACCGTTATTGATGGAAAAGTGAGTTTGAGTGCACCTCTGGATCCTGCAGTCTTGAATTCTGAAGAAATAACTTGTCATAAAGATGATTCTCCTGTAAGCTGTCCAAGTGGTATGGATGACATCTCTATGAGCAGGTCAAGTAGTAGGAATGATGCCCCTATTAGCAGACCAAGTATTGAGGAGAACACTGTGGTAAGCAGGCCTAGCAGTAGGCCTGAGACAATGCTCCATTCAACTCATTCCTCTATATCCAGTGATGATGAAAAATTCACCAAGAGGGAGCTTCCCTCATCAGTTGTAGAAACCACACCTTCCACTGCCTCACCGATTTCATCTGGCCAAAGCAATTTGCAACTGGAGAAAGGAATCATTTTGCACAATACAATACTGGGAGAGCCAGCTGCTTCCTCTTGTCCCCCAGCAATTGATGAGGTTATACATGTTATAAGGCACAGGAGTTTCCGTGTGGGAAGTGAGCAGCCAGTGATGGAGAAAGTGGAAATGGGTGTCCAAAATGTGGATTTTGGTAAGTTGATAAACGTTGTGAGGGATGAATTGGATGTGAGAAACATGACCACTCCAGTGACCCTCAAGTCATCAAGGTGCACTGAAACTCCAAGTTTGAAATCAAACGTTTCTGATCTCTCTTGTGTTAAGGAAATGGATATTTGGAACACCATTTCTGTAGCTCCTAGATCTGATTCTCCAGACCCAGCAAAGCCTAGCTCTACTATGTCAGAGGATGAACCACCAGCTAAGGAAACATTGGATGTCAAGTCCTTTAGGCAAAGGGCAGAGGCACTTGAAGGACTTTTAGAACTGTCTGCAGAGCTACTCGAGCAAAACAGATTAGAAGAACTCTCGGTTGTATTGAAGCCTTTCGGGAAAGAGAAAGACAAGGTCTCCCCAAGGGAGACTGCTATCTGGCTGGCGAAGAGTCTTAAAGGAATGATGGAGGACTGTGGACGGAGTTCATGAAGCATCTGAGCTAAGCTTCTTCTGGTTTAAATGATTATTCACATCCCTCTAGTAATCTCTAATGTATTGTTTTCACACTAATCTCATTCAGTTGCCCTTGAATTGAATTTTTAAACAGAACGGCTGGGTTCTTCTCTTCACCTCATTTTGTAATTTGATTGAACGCATTTTGTTGTACATAGTGACTATACGTATTATACTACTAATTAATTAAGTACATTATTTGTATCCAGCCAAATGTATTTATTGCATGGTTTAATATACAAATGTGTTTAGCAAATTCAAGTACAATGTAAGCTTCGGAGTTGTTATTACCGTGAAGTATTATTTCTGAGGTTTTTTTTTCCCCTTATGTAATTGTAATTTTTATTAGTTATGTTAGTATTTTTTATGAAAGAAGTATTTATTGATCATACTTTCAAAAAATTTTAAGAAAAAAAATTTAGAAGTTAAATTATTATATATCGTTTTAATAAATTTTATTTTAAAATATTAAAATAATTTATTTTTAGAGTAGAATCATTTAATTTTTATAACAGAAAGGTATATATACCGGCATTACTTCAGAAATCTTAACTCCAGCCATATACCTTCCTCAGAAATCCTTTCGATCAAGCAAATGGAAATTCTTTCATCCCATCCATATTTTCACTTCAGAAGGTTGTGATTCAGTAGAATATGCTAGATAGACACCAAAACCCTGATCCCTGCCAACAACCGCCGCCTTCTCACTACTAAAATTTTGACCTTTAGCAACAAATATCAGCAACATGA